ATATTTAAATAAATTAAAAATAATTAAATTATACAAAATAAAAAAAAAAACAGAAAATAATAAAATAATTAAATTATATATATAAATATATTAAAATAAAAAAAAAATGAATTTAAATATGTCAAATCGTATAATAGTAACAAACCAATACAAATAAATATAATAAGAAATACAAAATAATTTAATTGAAGAATAACATATATTACAAAAACAAAAACAAGAATAAAAGCAGTAAAAACTTGATGAAACAAAAATAAACATTTAAAATATGTTAAACCCCAATACATCATTAAAAATGATAGAATCAGTAACAAAAAAAGTCGCTTTGTTAAAATCTAAAAGCGCTAATACTTAAAAAAAACTAATTCATATGTTTGTAGAAGAAAACAACTTTAATGAATAAAATATAAGTCCTTATGTACTTTAATAAATAGCAATTATGACAAACGATGTAATAAAAAATGACCAAAAATAAAAAACTTATTAAGGATATTTAACTAATAATAACATTTCATTAATTTAGAAATGAATAGTATTAATAATTCTATTTCATATAATAAGGATTTAAAAAATATTAACTAAAATAATAATCAAAGTAAATTAATAATAATGAGCTATTAAAAATACACTTACAATAAACCAAAACTAATCAATTATAAGTAATTAATAAAATGATGATTATTTTTTTATAGATAAATGTAATGCTATTTTACATATAGAGGCTAGAGTAGATAGAATTATGAAAAGATATAAAAATTATAAACAATTAACAACAGATATTGATTATAAAATTAGAAAAAAATGCGAAAGAAGAAGAGATAAATTAATGGAAGAAAATTTAAAACCACCAAAAAAACTTGAATAACTAAGAATTGAAAATGAAGACATAAGGGAAATTCTTGATAGATAAGACGATTATTAATAAAATAAAAAATAAAGAGCTATTACCTAAATGAAAAAAAATATTAAAAAGTATGGTCTTGTGCGAAGATTCCATAATTAACATAAAAATACTAAGAAATTTATGATTTTAATTTAAAAAAAAACTAAAGTAAAGAGAAGAGAAATTAATATAATAATAAAAAATAAATTATAAATGATATTAGAATTTAGAAAAAAAGCATAGATAAAGATGAAAATAATTCTATTTGAAAAACATATATATAAATATATATATATATATATATATATATATATATATATTATTATATATATTAATATTATATATTTATATATATATATACAATATTTTTTAAAACTATTTTTTTTTAAATTTTAATATTAGTTTTAATAAAAATAATTATATATTTTATAATTTATTCTTTTATTTATATATTATTATATATTTATTTTTTATAAAATTAAACTTTACATAACTATAAAAGTTTATACAAATATTTTATATATAATATTTATACATTATTTTAGTTATAAAATTTCTTTATTTTAATTTTTTAATGAAATTAATAAATAATTAAATAATTATTTATATTTTATAATTAAATTATTTATTATTTTTTTAATTACTATTATTTTATTTTAATACATATAATATCATAATATATTTAAAAATATAATTTTCTCTTATATAAATTATTTAATTTTTAATTTATAAAAAAAGGTCAAAATTTATTTAGTATAAATAAAGTACTTTTTTAAATATTTATTAAATATCTTTTCCATATAATTTTTCAAATAGAAATAAATATATAATAATAATAATTTATAATATTGATTATATATTTGTCCGATAAATATATATTTTTTTAAACTTTTATTATCTTTAGAAAAAAAATTATTATAAAAAAAGGTGAATCAAAAATAAAATGGATAACTGTCTTTTTTTTTAAATATGATTTAGTTTTTTTAAAAAAATTACATTAAAAATAAGCAATATTAATAATAAGTAATATACTAATAAAAATTTTTAATAAAAGATAAAGTATAATTAGATAATATTTTACATTATAAATTTAATTGCAAATTAATTATTAAATAATTATTCTCTTTAATCAAAAGTGAAAATTAAAAAAGTGGATATTACAAAAAGTGCATAAAAAAGTAATAAAATAGTCGTGAAAATTACAAAAATATGATTTTTAAGGTTCGAAATATAAAATAGATTAATAAAAAAATAATAAAAAGGATTAACAAAAAATTAAAAATAACTTAAAGTTATCTCCATTTTTAAAATTAGAATTAAAAAAATTATATCTAATTAATTAATCATTTATTAATATTTTATCATTTTAATTAATATATTGCTTCATATTTAATTTTAACATTTTTGAAAATATACGAATATTTTAATAAAAATTAGCCTATAAAATAAAAAATAATTGAAATCTATAAAATATAAATTTTTTCTGTATTTTTTTTTTTAATAAAAAAAAAAACGCGATAATTAAACTCAGCTAAATAATATAATATTTTTAGAAAACCATTTATTATTATATTAAGTAATAATTTTATATATATAAATTAATTCAAATCAAATTAAAAAGAGTCCTTAAAACAAAACAAAAAATAGAAAAAGAGAAAGAAATAAAATAATAAGGCTTATTTATTAGGTAATATGTTAAGATAAAAATCGATAGCATACCTAAAAACAAAAGACAAAGAACAAATCAACTAAAAAAAAGATAATAATAAAGTAAAAAAGCATTTTGAGAATTTTTAATTTTCCTTTCTGAAACAAATATACTAATAATTAAAATACCACTACATATTTAATTAATAAAGGTAATAAAAATAATAATAAAAGAATAAATAAAAAGAAGTATGTTTAACTAAAAAAGAAAAACTATATATTTATTTATAAGCAAAAAAAAAATTCTTATAAAACTATACAAAAGACTTAATTTTTTTTTTTAAAAAAAATATAAATGTATAAAAAATGCCTTTTTTTTAATACGATATAAAAAAATAATTACAAAAAAAAAAAAAAATAAGTAATAATTTAAAATTATTACAAAATTATGATTTTAATAATTGTAAATATACTGACTAAAAAAAATAAATAAATTTAGATTTAGAAATTTTATACTTTTATTTAAATATTAATTTTAAATATATAGAATTTTTATAATTAAGTAAAAATATAAATTAATATAATATAATTTTTAAATTACAATATAAATCTTGAAATTGTAATAGTTTAAATTTATAAAAAAATAGGATAAAAACATTAATATAAAATATAATATCTTTATTGATCTAAAATATAATATTTAAAACACATTTATTTATATGTTTATATAATGTCAAAATATAATATTTAATTTTTAAAAAAAATTATTTGAATTAATTTGGAAATGATTATTTCAAAAAAAAAATTATATGATTTTTTAATTAATATTAAAATATTTAAAATTATAAAATATAATTTAGTAAAAATAAATAACCTTTTTAAAATATATATAGAAAAATAATAAATATTAAATATAAATAATATTAAATATATATTCTAATAATTATTTTTTAAAAAATTTACAAATATTAAAGAAAATTTAAATATACTAAATAAAAATATATTTATATAAATATATATATATATTATTTATATATTTATATATTTATTTATTTATTACTTACATATATATTTTTATTAAGATTTTCTATATTTCTTATATTTAAAATACATTCTTTAATAATTTTTTTATCAAAAAAATTATAATATTTTTATTAAATATGATAAATATAAATATATTCATAATACATTTTAAATCTATATTTATATTATTATTATTTTTATAATCCGTTGATAATTAAATAAATTATTAAAACTTAACATATTTATAGTGTGAAATATTTGAATACAATTTTTTTTTTTTTTTTTAATACATATTATTTATTTATATATAAACTATAATAAAATATTTTTGTTTTTATAAAATTTATAATTTAAGCAATACAAATTTTAATTAATTGTTAAATATGCTTTATTAAAGACAATTATAATTTACATTAAATCATTAATTATATATAAAAAAGTTTATAAAAAATAAATAAAAACAAACTATATATTAACTAAATTTTAAATAAAAATAATAATCAAATTATAAAAACTAATAAAAAAAAAAAAAAATTTAATAAAATAAATTTTAAATTATAATTTTTTTTTTTAAAAAAAAAAATAAAAATAAAAATAAAATTTAAATAATATATATATATAAATTACTAATTATTTTTTTTTTTTGAAAAAAAAAAACAAAGAAAAAAATAAATAAATAACAACATCCATATAAATATTAAAAATAAAAAATTAAAAAAAAAAAAAATGATTAACCAAAACTTAGAAAATTCAAATAGATTAGTAATAATTGAAGAAAAGCAAACCCTATCCACAGGCGAAACAACATCAAAAAAATACATAAAAGGCCGTTTATTGGGAAAAGGAGGTTTCGCGAAATGTTTTGAATTAACAAGTATAGACACAAAAAAAGTCCTTGCAGCGAAAATAATACCCAAATCCACTCTTACAAAAAGCCGAGCCCGCTCAAAATTAATATCCGAAATAAAAATTCATAAAAGCCTCCATTAATAATACATAGTATTATTCGAACACGTATTTGAAGATAGTGAGAATGTATATATATTATTAGAATTATGTGTAAATAATACACTTAACGAGCTAATAAAATGTCGAAAAAGACTGACTGAATTAGAAGTTTAATGCTATTTAGTCCAAATAATAAGTGGTTTAAAATATTTACACTAATAAAAAGTTATACATAGAGATCTTAAATTAGGAAACCTTTTTTTAAATGAAAAAATGGAAATAAAATTGGGAGATTTTGGATTGGCTACTAAAGTGGAATTTGAAGGCGAAAAAAAAACACTATTTGTGGAACTCCGAATTACATTGCACCTGAAATTCTGGAAGGGAAATAAGGACATTCATATGAAGTGGATATATGGTCTTTAGGAGTTATTATTTATACATTAATTATCGGAAAAGTAATTAATTTTGTTTATTATTTTTTATTAAAACAAAAAAGCCACCATATGAAACACCAGATGTAAAAACTACATATAAGAAAATTAAATAAAACCAATATTCATTTCCTGATAGTGTACCTATATCAGATTCGGCTAAAAACTTAATTATTAAAATTTTGAATTTAAATCCTTCCCAAAGACCCAGTTTAGATGAAATTATGGCACATCCATTTATAAATGGACAAGGTTAAATACCAAAAATACTACCAACTTCTACTTTAACATGTCCTCCTTCGGCTTCTTTTACGAAATAATTTCTTCCTTAAGGAAATTGTTTGAAAATAAATTAATAACCGATAAGACTTATAGAAAATTATAATAATTAATAATAATCTAAAGGAAAAACACATAGTGCAGTAAATATAAAAACTAATAAATAATTAAATTCAGAATCAAATAATATAATAGAAAATACAGAAAATATATAAAAAGATATCAAATTCTTATAAACACATAAACCCTAAACTACTACAAATAAAAATAATAATAATAATTTCTTTAAATCCACAAATAATACATAGAATGCCTTATAACTAAAAAACTAAAATAATGGAGAAAATAACATGTTAAATATAGGGGGAATTTAATAGGAAAATTAATAGCCTATATGGGTTACTTAGTGGTTTGATTATTCTGATAAATACGGATTAGGATATATATTATCTAATGGACATACGGGTGTATATTTTAATGATTCTACCAAAATTATTTATGACCCAAATAGTAATCTAGTGAAATATTTGGAAAGGGTAAATAATTAAAAGGACGAAGTTGTTAAGGAATTTTTCTTGGAGGGAAATCCTCCCGAATTAAAAAAAAAAGTGACTCTTTTATAACTTTTTAGGAATTATTTAAAGGAAAAAATAATTAAAGAAAATCTAAGCTATGAAAATATTGATATATAAGGAAATAATAATGTCTATATAAAAAAATGGATAAAATCTAAACATGCGATAATGTTTAGAATTTCAAATAAAATTGTTTAAGTTGTTTTTACTGATAAAACCGAAATTCTACTTTCTAGTTTGTAAAAAATTGTTACTTATGTTGATAAGAAAGGAAATAGATTAAATTTTCCACTTTCTACGGCTTTAGATAATTCGAATATGGAAATGTAAAAAAGACTTAAATATACTAAAGAAATTCTTACTTCTTTACTTAGTAATTAAAGGAATAATAATGAAAAAAAAAGTTATGGATAAAATAATTTCTAAAATCAAGATATTGGATTTGATTGAAAAAATTATATATTTTTTTAAGTATATTTATTATAATTTATATGTATTAAATAATTTTTTTAAATACATGATTTATATATATTAAAATATTATATTTTAAAAGATAAAAAAAGTTATTAAAAAAAAAATTATATATACAGATTATTATATATATCAAATTTTATTAGATTAATTATATAGATATTTAAGGAATTAATAAATATAAAATTATTTGAAACTAAAAATTATAAAACATTATTTCTATATTTCTAATATCTTATTAATTAAAAATATAGAAGATTCATTTTTCTAAAAAAATATATATATTTTATAAATTTCAATTAAAAATATAAACATTTTATTAAAATTATATAATTATAATAATTAAAATTATTTTTACTAAAACATATATGATATTTTTATAACTTAATATATATTATTATAAAATTGAATATTTATTATATATAGTAAAAGAGTAAAAATATTAAAAATAGTATAAGGAAAAAAAAAATGAATATATTAAAATAAAAATATTTTAAATAATTATGTATAAATAAAAATAATAGTAATTATATAATATAAGAAAAACGATAAATAAATTGTTAAATAATATATAAAAATAAAAATAAAAAAAAAAAATATATATAAAAAATTAAATAATAAATAAAAAAAAAAATAAGAATTAAATTTTTATATGTGTATAATGTATATATTTAATATAAAAAATTATATTAAAAAATATATAAATATATAAATATATAAATATATAAATATATAAATATATAAATATATAAATATATAAATATATAAATATATAAATATTCAAATTAAAATTTTTTTTTTCTTTATCTATTTTTATTTTAAATATTTTTTTATTATAATATAACATAATATATTTTTATATTAACAAATAAATATAATTTTTCTTTATTTTTTTTATATAAATATTTAATAAAATATTTTTTTTTATATTAAATAATTTAAAAATAAATTATTTGATATAAAATATCTTTTAAAAATTATATATTTTAATTATTAGATATTTTATATTTTTATAACAATTATTAATTTGAGTATAAATATCAAATATAAATTTTACTTTTATATATTTTTTTTATCAATTTTTAATGTAAAATTATCTGGAAATTCATTTTTTAATTTTTAAGTCAATAAATCATGTTTAAATATAAAATTTATATAAAATATGTATTATTTTATATATATTGTTTAATTAAAATCAAAGTTTAGAAATTTTAATTATAATATATTATGAATATATTCAAAAAAATACAAAGTTATTTATTATTTATTAATACATCGTAGAATCGTAGAATAATAAGCAATTTATAAAATATAACTTTTTTGAGTTAAAAATATATACAAAACATATTCAATTATTTTATAAATAAAAAATAAAAATATAAAAAATAATATAGTTTTATTATACAATAAATAAAAATATAAGAAAAAATAGCATTAAAGCTTATATTTATAAAAAAATATATAATAAATAAATAAATTAAATTTTAATATATATTTTATAAATATTAATTTTTGTAAAAATAAAAAAATTATGTATTATATATATATAAAGAAAATGTTTAATATGTTTTATAATTAAAAAAATTAAAATAAGTTAAAATTAATAATAATAAATAATATATTTTATAAGTATAAATAAATAAATTAATATATTTATTAATTTAATAATGAATACAGATTTTTAATCTCTTTAAGAATATAGAGAAGACGGGAGAAAGCCATTAGAAATTAGAAATATAGAATGTGTATTAGGTTTTAATTAGTAATCAGATGGTTCATCAAAATTAAAACAAGGATTGACAGAAGTAATATGTTTAGTAAAAGGTCCTCATTAAGTATTAAAAGAATATATTAATATAATATATAAAAACATATATATATTTATGTATATATATATATTTATATTTTTATTTATATATAAATATTTCTTATTTATAAATTAATAGAAAACAAAAAATAAAATAAAAATTCTTTTTTAAATGTTTAATATAATGTAGCTCCATTTAGTGGTACAGATAGAAGGAAAGTTTCTAAATTTGATAAGTTTTTAAATATAAAATATTTTTAATATAATAAATCTTTTTTATTAGAGAATGGAGTGAATTTGCACATAATTTAAAAGTTAGTTTTGAAAATATAATAATTTAAGATTCATTAGGCAATGCCGAAGTTGACATAATAGTATCAATTATATAATAAGATGGCAGTCCAAAAAGTGTTATTTTAATGCTATAACATTAGCTTTAATAGACTCAGGTATTCCAATTAAAGATTTTATGATTTCATAGACTGTTGCTTATTTAAATAATGATTTTTTAATCGGTATTTTTTTTTTATAATTAATTAATTATTTATATTTTTTTTTTAAAATAAAAATAAAAGATCCAACATATTAAGAATAAAAAGATTGTTCTGCGGAATTAGTTATATCATATTTAAATAAAAGCAATTCTATTGATTTTATGGAAATGAAATGTAGTAAAATTAGTTAGGAAGAAAGCAAATAAATGTGTGAATATAATATGTAAGGATGTTAATAAGTTTATTAGATTTTAAGAAAATTTGTAATGGAAAACTCGTTTAAAAAATTATTAGTATGTAAATGATTAATTTTTTAAAATAAAAAATAATTAATATTATTATATTTTAATATCTAATTAATAATATATATAAAAAAAATATAAAATAAATGTATAAAAAAGATTAAATTTTTAAGTTAAATATATAAATATAAATATAAATATATATACATATATATATATATATAATATAAATATTTTTACTTAATCATAATTTAAATTTTATAAGTTTTTTTTTATAAAAAAAAATAATTATATAATCTATTTATTTTTTAAATTAAATTTATATTTTTACTTTTTTTTTTAATTTAAAAATAAATAAAAAAATGAATGTTTTAAAAATATAAATAAAAGAATTTTCTGAAGAAAGATATATATTAAAATAACAATTAAGAAATTTTTAAAATTAAATTGAAAAACCTTAATAAAAAAATCATATATATAGAGACTTTACATAAAGAAGTCGAACTTATAATTATTAAAATTAATATTATTAATAATGTAAATAATAATTAAATATAAATAAAAATGAATAAAAAAAATAAAAAAGAAGTAAATAATAAATCAGTTTTATAACTAGAAAATTAGTGGCAAGATATTAAAAGATAACTAACATAAATAAGCGTATATAATTATATAATATATTAAATTAATTATATAAAAAATAGAGAAATAACTCCTCGAAATCTACCAAAAGAAGTGATGAAAAAACTTCTTAATTAATAATAAATAAGGCTATTCCTCTATCTAAAATAGATCTAAATAGTTTTATTTAGAACAATTAATTAATTATAAATTAATATTAAAGTCAATAATAAAGTTTAAGTATGCCAAATACTACAAGAAATATAATAAGTAATTGTTAAAATAATAAAAATATATTAATAAATAATAACCAAATAATAAATTAATATGATAATTATGATAATAACATATCATTTACAAACGGAATAAGTAATTCTTTTTATTTTAATAAAGAAAACAATCAAAATTTCGCAAATATTTAAATGAATAAAAATTAGCAATTAAATAATTAAAATTTTGAGCAAAAATACTAAAACCTTAAAATTTAAAATTAAGACTAATAAATATAATAATATGCCATATAATAAAAAAATATACTATAATACTAATAAAATCTATAATTTAAAAATCCATTTAACAATAATCGAAATGAAAATTAAAAAAATTATATATAAAATAACATATTATATGAAAATACTGAATAAAAACAATAATTTTTAAATGAAAACTAACTTTCTTGTATTTAAAATAACAAATATATTAGTAATATAAACAAAAATAATTAAAAAAATTATAATTAGAACAATAATAGTATAAATGATTATAATATTAATGATAATAATTAAAAATTCTAAGTTAAAAATGTAAATATAAAGTAAAAAAGAGTATAAATTTTAAATAATAATAATAATATAAATTAATAAAATAAATTTATTTAAAATAATTAATCTAATATAGTCTATATGAATAAATAAATTAATAATAAGTAAAATAATTTAAATTATTTATAAAATCAATAGATTATTTTTAGTCCAAGGATAAATTATAAAAATATATAAAATTATATTTAAAATAACTTAAAAAAGATAAATTAAGCAATTTCTAATAGAAATAGTAATATAAATAATACAAAAAATAATAATAATACAAATAATAATAGTAGATAAAATAAAAAGATTGATAAATAATTTTAATAAATAGTTATTAATTAAAACAATAATATAAATAAATATTAATTAAATGAAAACTAATTAAATATTTCAAACAATTCCATAAAAGACATTTATAAAGGAAAATAGGGTTAAAAAAATAATAATTTAAGCTAATAAAATATTTCAAATATATAAAAAAATTAACATATAAACAATAATTAGAATAAAAACATTTTTTAATAATAATTTAATGATAAATAGTAATAAATTAAGCAAAATTTAAATAAAAATTAAAATAATGTTGAAAAAACAAATTATAAGCAAGAAGATTATATAATAAAATAAAATAGAAAATAAAATATAAATAATAAGAATTTTTAATTTATAGAAAATAAAAAAATAATTTAAGAAAAAAGATAAACTATAAAAGATAAATTAAAATAAAATAATTCATTTATAATACCTAATTTAGTATTTAGTTGAAATATGATAAAAACTAATTAAAAACAATATAATTATTTTATATATTTATATATAATTATTTATATTATATCGTAATTAATTACGAAAACAATTATATTATAAACATAGAAATATTTTTTTTTTTTAAAAAAAAAAATTATTATTTATTATAAAAAATATAAAATATAGTATATTAATTTTATTTTTGAAAAAAAAGTATATATATATAAAGTATAAATTTATTATTTAAAATTAGATAATTATATTGAAATTATTTTTTAAATATATATTTATGATTTAAATAGAAATACCTTATTAAGTAATTAAAATCTATTTTTTATAAGTATTTTAGAGAAAAAAAAAAAAATTATTTATTTATTTTTTTTAAAAAAAAAAAGAAAAAAAAAAATATATATATTAATAAAAAATGAATAACTATTAAAGTTTATAGACAAAAATATTAAATAGTTCTTATGATTTAGATATTTAAAATCAAAATTTATTATAATAACCCTTAAATATGTTTGAATAGGATTATTTTTATTAAAATCAAACAAAATAAATTAATAATAATATAAATGTAAATATATTAAAATATAATAATAAACAAAAAAATTATATATATGTATATATATTTTTAAACAGACTTAATCATAAAATATTGAAATATACTATAACAATATTTAAGAAAACTTTTTAAATCAAGACAAAAATTTATAATATAATGTAAATAAAAATAATAAAAAAAAAAATATAATATAAATATTTTTCTATTATATTTTTATTAATTTTATTTTTATATTTAAAAAATTTTTTAAATTTTTTTTTTTAAAAAAATAAATAAATAGAATAATATATAAGAATGTAAAATTGATATACCTTCAATAGAAAAAATTAATTTTATAGATGATATAAGTAATATAAATAATGAATATTAAGATTTATAATATTATTGTCCTACTACGGAATAAAAATATAATTTTATAATAATAAAATTATAATAATTATAATAATTATAATAATAATAATAATAATAATAATAATAATAATAATAATAATAATAATAATAATTATAATTATAATTATAATAATAATTATAATTATAATTCTAATAATAATTAATATATTAATAATTTTATTTAATATAATTATGAAAATAATAATACATTTGAGCAATAATTAAATTTTAATGGTTAATAAAAATTTAATTAAATGTATCAAACTCCAATGAAATAATAAATAAAAGACTAATCTAATTGTGAAACTATAAAATTATTAAAATACAATACTCAATAATAATGTAAAAATATTTTTAAATCAATACTATTTTTTTATAAAATAATATAGAATAAAACAATTCGTACTATAATTTTGATTTAAAAAATTATTTGTTAAATAAAAAATAATCAAGTTAAAATAACAAATAATTTATTAGTATATTTTAAAATCTTCCAAAGGCTTATTATCCCTTATCTAATAATAAATTAGATGACTCTTAACTACTTTAATAATTATAAACAAAATACTCAATTTAAGAAAAAGAACTAAAATATATAAAATAAATTCTTCCTGAAAATTATAAAGAATCCTTTGATGTAAATATTAATTAAATTTTATAGAATGGATATATAATGAATGGAATTATTAAAAAATATAATACAAATATATAAAAAAGAATAATTTATTATCAAAAACTTGAAAATTATAAAAGAAAAAAATTATAAATGTAAAAAAATATTTAATATACTTTATATAAATAATAAAAAGGAAAAATCATGTAAATAGAAAAATTATTAAAAAGAAATTTCACGAAAATAGATTAAGAATTAAAGGAAAGTTTATTTCTAAATAAGAAGCTTTAAAAGTTATTGGAGAAAATTTCTTAGATTAATAATTTACAAATTATTAATTATAATAAATACTTTAATAAAAATTTAAGAAAAATAAACAAATATAAATGATATGAATGTATATACTAAAACCTAATATATTAAAAAAAATCAAATATATATATATATATATATTATTATATATAAATTATATATAATTATATTAATAAATCATTAAATTTTATATATTCATTTAATAATAATTAAATATATATTTATTAAATTTAGCTATTAATATATTATTTTTATAAATTAAATATTTAATGATATATTTTTAACAATTTTTTAAGTAAGATTATTTAATAAATATAATAATATTTGAGTTTTTATATAAAAAAAATTTTTATTATTAATTAATATAAAATTTCTTCATCCATATATATTCTATATATAATAAAATTATTATAATTTTTTGTTAAAAAAATAATTTATTCTTAATATTATTTTCATTTAGCCCAAGGTTTTGCTTTATTAATTTATTTTTTTACAATAGGTTCCGTTTAAGTAATATTGACTTATATTATAGGTTATTATAAATCTTAATTTACTATTATTTCCTTATTTTAATTATTCTCATCATTTAATATTATATTTTATTATTATATGATAACTTAATTATTAATATTTTCATTATTATTTGAAAATGTTTATTGTGAATCTTCTTAATGTTTCCAGAAATCCTCTGATCTAAAATTATTTAAAGTATCTTTTTCTTTATCAATAAAAATATTTAATTAATCTTACAAAAATTCTTAATTTTCTTTATTTTCTTTATTTACTTCTTATAAAATATTATCAATTTCAACTTTTTTTATATCTTAAAATTATTATTAAACCTAAAGTTAATTTTATAATTCCATTTCTTCATTTTATATTTTTTTCTATAATCTATATTTCATAATATAGAATACAAAAATTGCTTTTTTTTTTTATTTTTTTATTTTTTAAAAAAAAATAATAATACATATTCCAGTTAAAACTCTTAAAAAAAAACAATTTTTTAAAAAAATATTGAAAAAAATTAAGTCCTTTATTAACTTTCCATTTATACTAAATTTTAGCTTTTTCTCAATAAATCACCAAAAATAAAATTAAATACTCTCTTTATATAAGAAAAAGTTAAAATTCTAAAAGCTAAATTATTAAAGCTTTATCCAATAAACCCGAGCATAGATTTTGTCATTTCAAATAAATTTTTTCCATAACTAAATAAACCTACTCCTGCATACATAATATTTAAAAGAGATCCCATTCCGTTTAAAACACCTTAATATTCTGTCTAAAATGATTAATTTTAGTTAAATTATTATTAATTTGAATACATTCCTCCTAAATTACTCATTTAACTAAATTGATTAAATTATTAATTTCCATATAAGCTTCCATATAAACTTCCTATTGAACTTCCGATTGAGTTACCATAAATATTCTAATTTCTTTAATTTAAAATACTTTAATTATTTGTGCTTTAATTAATTAAATTTTGAGTATTTATTTATTATTTATTTGACTCGTCTTAAATTTGTGGATATGAATCATTTTAATTATTATCCATTTTTATATTTGCTATTAATTTACTTATTTTATATATTTAAGTAATTTCTATTTTTTTTAGAGTAAAAAAAATTTAAAACTCTTTATTATTTTATATATAATATATATTCTTATTAATTTTTTTTTATTTTTCTTATTTCTTTTTTTCTATGTATATTTATTTATTATCATATTAAAAATTTATACTATTATAAAAATAATATTAAAAATAAATAAAAATTTAAAATATATATGTATATATATATATATATATATATATATATATATATATATATAAATATATATATATATATGATAATTAAGTTTTTTTTTTTTTTCCATAGTTCTTATATTTTTAATTTTTTAATTTTTTTAATATATTTAATATAAAATATTAATGAAATTTAACATTATTTAAATGTATTTTATAATATTTTTATAAGAGTAATTTATTAAATTATTATTTTTATTCTAATTTTATAAATATATTTATTATTTTCTTTTATTTCAATATATATATATAATTTATCTTATTAAAAATTAATTATTAATTAATTATTATTATTATATTAAATATTTTTATATTATATATGTTCATTTATTTTAAATTTTAATAATTTTATTTTTAGCTTTTTTTGAACTATCATTTAAATTTAAACTTATATATTTTTATTTTTAATAAATTTATTATAAATATTTAAAATTTTTTTCAAGAAAGTAAAATTAAATATATATATAAATTAATTTTTTTACATCAAATGAATAATAATAATGTTTGAATTTATATTTGTTATTTTTATTAATTATTTTATATATTATAATAATAATATTTTTTTTTTTTTTTAAATAATAAAATAAGCATAATAAACTTTAATTAATTATTGTAAATTTATTAATTTATAACATCATATAAAATATAAAAAATTATAATAACTAAGATAAGCATTTATTTTTAATAATTTAAAATTATTAAGATTTTTAAAATAAAATCATATAATTAATTATTATAAATATTTTTTTAAAAAAATATATATATAAATATATATAAGTATATAATAATTATATTTATATATATATATATTTATATTATTTTTTTATATTTAAATTTATAATTTTTTATTAATAAAGTATATTTGATTTTATTATTATATATATATTTTTAATAAATATATATTATAAAAATAATTAAAATTCGCCATACAAAATTTCTAATTCTTAATATTTCTTCATTAAATTTACTTTTTTTTACCTTTTATTGCATTAAAACTTTTTATATTATTTAAATAGTTTAAATAGTTTAATTATTTGTATTTTTATAATTATAATAATAATTATTGATTGCCCTATTACTTTATAATATTTACATTTTTAGTTTATATTAATTATATAAGATTCTTCTAAAAGTTCTAATATCTTTTATTTTTTTTAGAATGCTTTATAAAATATAGGTTTATTTATTAAAAGATTATAATTATGTAATATTTATATTTGTATTTTATTAATACAAATTATCAAATAATGTTTATAAAAATATAAATATATAATAAATTTACTATTTATTTATGTTTTTTTTTTTAAAAAAAATTATAATAATTAAATTATTTCTTTTAATTATATGTTATATAGTACGTTTTAATTTAATTTTAAGTATATCTTAATAAAATTTAATAAAATTCTAATTATAAAAAATTATTAGTATTTAAAGATGTTTTATATCTATAATTATAAATATTTTAATTTAATCTATAAATATTAATATAATAAAATATAAATAATTTATTATTTACTATTTATTTTTAAAATATAATAAATTTATTATTTTTTTATTATTTTAATATAGAACTATTAAAATATATATATGCATATATATAATACATATTTATTATTAATATTTTTAATTTATAAAAATATCTAATATTATAATTTATAATTTATATATGAAATTTATAATTAATTTTTTTATAATTACTATCCTTTTTTTATTCTATTGTTTTTGTTAAAAAAATTTAGTTCTTTTATAATTTAATACAATTATTATATTTATAATGTTATAATTAGTGTACTTATTATATTAGAGTTTTACGATTTTAGATTGTTTTCTTTTTTTATTTTTTTGATGATTAAACCTATATCATTCAGTTTTATTAATACAAAATTAGTTTATGTATTTTTTTGTTTAAACATAATTTTTATTTTATTATTTATTATAATTATTAAATAATATATTATTTATAATTAATAAATATTTTATTTTTTATTTAAAAAATATATTTATTTATTTGTTATAAAAAAATAATAAAATAATAAAGATATAAAAAAAATGTTTTTATTTAAAAAAATTATTCCATTTAAGTAATTAATAAAAAATCAATTAGAAATAGCTCAAAAAATAAAAAATAATTTAATTTTTAATACATAAAAATTATCGTTTAACCCAATTTTTAATTTCGCATTTGATCATTATCCTAAAATGTTCAAAACCAAATATAAAAAAGGTACTTTATCTACAAGATTTAGAACTAAAAATACATCTGCAAAAAGAGGAGTTAGAAAAACTTTAAGGGTACATAAATAAAGACCCCATAAAGCTTTAATGAAAAGAATAAAAATTGTAAAAAAATATTAAAATAATAAAAATAAATAAATATAGGTTGGACCAAGATGGGATAGAAAATTAAAATTTAAAAGTGCTTAAAATCATCATCTTAAAAGAAAAAAAAGCAAAAATAATTTAAGGCAATACAAAAATATTATATTATAATATATAATATATATATATATATATATATATATATATATATATATATGTATATATGTATATATGTATATATTGTATATAAATTTATACATTTATAGGAGAAAAGCTAAAAAAAGATTTATGCATATTACAGATTTTAGAAGATTAAAAAAATTGATTCCTAAAATTAGACATAATTCTTTTAAACAAAGAAATTGATTTATTTATTTTTATAAATTAATTTAAAATTTTATTTAAACAACATATTATTTTTTTTATTTTGTTTTTTTTTTATTTATTCTTTTATTATTTATTTATATCATTCTAAATTTATTAAATATTCACTTGTTTCTATAGGATTTTGGAAAGGAAAATTATGATTAAAATTATTGATTTAAGTAAAACTTCCATTTATAATTTAATTTTAAATTAATTTTTTCGCTCCTTCTTTACACATCCAATCTTCTTTTCCTCCATAGCAAAAATGTATAGGTATTTTGGGTTTTTTCTCCGAAAAAATTTTAAAAAGAGACACTTAAGCATATTAAGTATGAAAATTTAATAAATTAAATACACATTTTTCACTTCCTTCTGGATGAGAAAATAATTTGTCTAAATATTAAACCCATAAAGATTCTTCAAATTATGGTAAATTATATAATTTCATATATTATTTTAATATATATTCTTTAGGTAAATTAAAATATGTATAAATTCTAAAAATTAAATAAAAAAAAAAAATTATAAAAATTTATAAAAAAATAAAATAATATTACTTATTAATAGAATACTAATTTTACCATAAAATTTAAAATATTTAATGTAAAAAATTGTCAAATACTGATTATTTTCCTTTTTTCTCTTAATACTTTTCATAATTAAATTCACTTACACCAACAGGTGATAATAAAACGATTTTTTCAACTTTATCCGGATATTAAATTGCATAATGAGATCCTATATATCCTCCTAAACTATGTCCTACTAGTATTAGCTTTTCGATTTTAACTTCCTATCTCCATTATTCTAAAGCTTTTGTGAAATAATTAATAGTTTCTTCATATGCTTTGAATTGCCATAAAGGTTTCGATGATAAACCCATTCCAGGTAAATCAATAGCATATACTTCATATTTTTCTGATAATAAAGAAAACATCTTATGATAACTTAATACACTACCTGCAAAACCGTGAATTAGTAATATTTTAGGTTTATTTTTCCCATCTTTGGAATATTTTACAGTATGAACCCATTAATGTTCATTTAAATATTCACCTATGGTAACATCTTATACTGATAGATTTTTTAAATCATTACCTTTAACATATAAATATATATATATATATATATATATATATATATATATATATATTTATTTATATATATATATTTATTTATTTTTACCGGAATGTTCTAGAATTTAAATTTCTATATTACGTGATATTTAATGTAATTAATATATACGGTTTCTTCTTATTTTATTTTCTAGAGTATGTAATTGAAACTAGGATATATTTATATTAGTTTGGAAAAAATCCTTTATTTTAAATGTTATATAGCTTTGTAAATGATAGATTATTTCCATTTTTTTTTAATTTTGTTTTCGTTTTTTTTTTTTTTGGAATTTTTTTGTGAATTTTTATATTTTTGTAGTTATTTTTTTTTTTTTCTAAGAATTTTAATAGTATTTTATGTTTGTTTTTTATGAATTTATTTTAAATTAATATATATAATTAAATTATCATTTACTATATATATATGTATTATATTTTTATTTTATAAAATAATTATATAAAAAATATGATAGTATTTATTTTATTAATATAATTAAATAATAATTTTTTGATATAAATATATATATTATATATTATTATAATAATTTATATTTTATTAAAATAAAAAATAAAAGTTTATTATGTTAATATACACTCACTAATTAAGTATTAATTATTACAAGTTAAAAATTTATAAAATTAAAATAAATACATAATAAGGAAATAATAATAACACTAAAGATATAAAAAGCCAAAAATAAAAAATATTTATATTCGAAAAAAATAAATTAATAACTTCTTTAAATAATATATAGAAAAAAAGAAAAAAAAATATTAATAATAAAATAAAAAACATTTAATATAAAATGGGTCCTAAAACCAATAAAAAAAATTTAAAAAAACATAAAAATGATGAATCTTAAGAAGATTAAAATAATAATTAAGAATAAGATTAAAATAATAATTAAGAATTGAACAAAAATGATGAACCTCAAGAATAATAATAAGAAACTTAAGAAAATATTGAAAATGAAGAATAGGAAACATTCCAAAAATAAAAATTAGAATAAGAACAAAAAGAAAAATAGATTTAAGAAATAATTTAAAAAGAAGAATAAGAAAGACAATTATAAAATGAAAAATAAAAGGAAGAATAAAAAATATTAGAATAATTAAAATAAGAAAAAGAAGAATAAGAAAGATTATAAAAAGAAAAGGAAGAATAAGAAAGATTATAAAAAGAAAAGGAAGAATAAGACAGATTATAAAAAGAAAAAGAAGAAGAATAAGCCCGATTATAAAAAGAAAAAGAAGAATAAGCCAAATTATAATAAGAAAAGGAAGAGTAGGCCAGATTATAAAAAGAAAAAGAAGAAGAATAAGCCCGATTATAAAAAGAAAAGGAAGAACAAGAAATATTATAAAAAGAAAAGGAAGAATAAGCCAGATTATAAAAAGAAAAAGAAAGATTATAAAAAGAAAAGGAAGAATAAGCCAGATTATAAAAAGAAAAAGAAGAATAAGAAAGATTAAAATAAGAATAAGAAAGATTAAAATAAGAATTGGAAAAACAAAAACGAGAATAAGAAGAACTTGAAAAATAATAAAGAGAAAAATATTAAAATGAAATATAAGAAAAAGAAAGAAATTTAAAAGAAGAATAAGAAAGATAAAAAAAACAATAATAAGAACTAATATTACAAAAAGAAATAGAAGAATAATAAAAAAAAGAAATACTAAAATAAATTAATGTAAATGAATAACAAAATATATATTAAAAAGATAAAAAATAATCTCCAAATAAAGATAAAAAATAATAAAATAATTTAAATGATTAAAATATTTAGAATAATTAAATAGATTAAAATAATGATTAAACTGATTAAAATGAATCTTTTTAAGAAGAAAATGATAAAAATTAGGTAATTTTTTTGTAATATTTATAAAAAAAAAATATATATATAATGGATTTAAAATAAAATTTAATTATAAAAAATTCAATCTTTTTTATATAAATTTTTTAATAAATGAATATTATATAATAAAAAAATATAAATAATATAGTAAAAAGAATAAAGCATATATACATATTAATAAATATATAAATATTAATAGTTATAAATATAGATTTATATAAATAAAAATAGAAATAAAAATAAATATGTATAAATATAAATTAAAAATATATTACATAAATATTAATTAATATATATATCTATATATATATATTAATATATATATATATATATATATATTATTTATTTATATATATATATAATTATTTTTTTTATAATAAAACTAGGAATCTTTTATTAATTAATATGGATATTTTACAATTGGTGCTGTATCAGTATTAGGATTTTATCTTATAAGAAAATTATTTATAAAAATATGAAAAAATAGAAATTTTTATTTTAAAATAACAAAAATTATTATATTTGTATTAAAATAAAATTATTATTATATACAATTTTTTTATTAATAATTATTAATTTATATAATTATTATATTTTTATTAAAAAAAAATATTTAATAATTATTTAATATTTTATAAATAAAATATATTTATAAAAATATAATTCATGTATTTTTATAAATATTTTAAGAAATAAATTATATATTAAATTTAATGTTTTTAATATTTCTTTAATTTTAATTAAATATATTTTATTATATGTAAAAAATTTTTTAAAAATATATATTTAATAATATTATATATATATATATATATATATATATATATATATTAAATTTTTTTTTATGAATTATATCTTTAATTTAATATCTTTTGCTTTTATATTTTTTTTTTATTTTTTATTATTTTTGTATTTAATTTTATTTTTAATTTATATAATTTACAATTTTTTTTTATTTATTTTTTAATTTATATTTATTAATATTTTTTTATAAACTTTAAATATATAATTATTTATTTTTTATTTTAAATTCTTATTTTCGATTGTATATTTTTATTTTATATTTAAATATAAATAATTAATTTTTGAATGTTTTTATACATTAATTTTTTTTTGAAATTAAAAAAAAAAATTCATTAAAAAATAAAATTTATAATTTACATTATATTCTAATTATTATATCCTTTATTTTTTCTTAATCAAATCCCGATCTCAATAAGTACGACGAGTATCATTATTTTTAACCCAAAAAAAGAACTTATAATTTACCTAATAGTGCCTCTATATTAATTAAGGAAAATCTGCTAGTCATCATTAAATATGTATATATAAATACAAATGTACATAAACTTTTCAAAATATATATTATATTATGTTTTATTATTAAAGTTACACTTTTTCCATATTTTTTGAATTAAAAACCGTTAAATAAACATGTAGATAATTAAAAAAAATATTGGAGAGAGTTTTTAAACTGAAAATACTTAAATATGTAAATTCTCAGAGAAAAAAAATTAATTAACATAATAAAAAAAAAAAAAGACGAGAAAAATGTTAAATTATTATTTTTGATAAATCTGGAGATGTGGTTTATTAAATATTTTTCTAAATTTTTATTTGAATATTATTCAATTAATGTATATTATATAATTATATATATTATTTTTTTATTTTATATATATACAATTTTTATATATATACATTTATATAATAAATTAGAATTTATTAAAATTTAATATTATATATATTATATTATAAATAAATATAAAATTCTTATTTTTATTCTGATATAAAAATAATAGTTAAAATATAATTTATATTTTTTTATATAGCTCAAAGTTTATATATGTCAAATTTAATTAATTTTAACTGGTTCATTATATTATTTATTAATAATTTGAATAATTTTTATTATATAGCTAAAAGGTGTTTATTTTATTATAATTATTATTTAATTATTTAGTATTTTAATTTTATATTTTATTTTACATGAATTTTAATGTCTTTTTTGTTGTTGTTGTTTTATTATCATTTTTATAAGGCTTTAAATTATATACTTATTTTTGTTTTATTTTATTTGAAAATAATTATTATTTCATTCTTAATATAGAAAATTTGGATAACTTTAGTTTTTAAATAAAATATATCATTTTTTATATAAATAATTTATTTAAACATATTAATTATATATTTAATTCTTATTTAATAACTGTTATATCAATTAAAGTTTTATCGTATATTATGATTATTTAAATGAAATAAATAATCTTATTTTGTTAGATTAATCAAAAACGAGTGTATTCTTTAATAATTTTATTATATAATATATAAATAAAATAATAAAATAAAAAATACATATAATAGCAAACGAAATTGGAATAAATTAAATTATTATATAAAAAAAAATATATAAATATACATATAAATATATATATATATATATATATATATATATATTTATATTTTATATATATATATATATATATATTAAATAAAATATTATTTTATTTTTATGAAAATAATAACAAATAATAAAACAAATTAAAATTAAAAATATAAAAAAAACAAAGATATAAAATTAAAATATAAAAGTAAAAAATATAAATAAAGAAAATATTTTATTCCAGGCAAGAAATAAAAAAAAAAAGTAAATAAAAAGATAAAAAAAATAAAAAATAAAAAAAATGGTAAATAAAAATTATCCTCACAAGCAAATATATATTAAATAAAAATAAAAATAAAGGCAATCGATTTACATAAATAAGGTAGAGTATTAAACGGAGGCGCTTTAAGATAATCTAGAACAACTAATGTATATCTTAGATTATTATTGAAGGTAAATAAAACTATATATAAAAAAATAAAATAAAACTTAAGCATATTAATAAAATAAAAGCTTTATAGATTTTTGACAAGAAGAACTGATTCTAAATTCAATAAAACAATTTTAAAAAGATTAAGTACTTCCAAACTTAACAGATTCCCATTATCATTGAGCAGAATTGTTAAAACGTAAAAGATTTTTCCAAAATAGTTGTATCTACAGCCACTGTCACTAATGATGCCAGACTTTTAACTGTACCCAAAATGACAGTCTGTGCCTTAAGATTCACTGAAACTGCTAGAAAAAGAATCTTAGCTGCTGGTGGATAAGTATTAACTTTCGACTAACTCGCCCTTAAAGCACCTACTGGAACTAATTGCCACCTTTTAAGAGCTCCTAAAGAAAGAGAAGCATATAGACATTGGGGTCTTGCTCCTGGATAGAAAGGGTATATAATATTAATATTATTGTTAAATATTTAATTAATTATAATAAAGATCCAAAAGTGCTCCTTATGTCAGATCAGAAGGAAGAAAATTCGAAAGAGCTCACGGTTTAAGATGAAAGATATATAATAAATATGCTTTCCTTTTTTTTAAAAAAAAAATAAAAAAAAGTAAAAATATATAAATTTTAGAAATAATAAATAGTTTTTTCTTTATTATTTATATATTTGTTTTTGCAATATTAGTGTATTTTATTTAAACTTTGTAAATTTTATTATTTTATAATTATTTCAAAAATTATGTATTTATTTATTATATATGAATATATATATATATATATATATATATATAATATTTATTTTTTAACAAAAATTATATTTTATACTTATAAAATTTTTATTTTCTTATTATTATTCTTTTATATTGAAATAAATAGTATTTATATAATATATATAATAAAATCAATATAGAATGATTATTATTTATTTATATAATTAATAATAAATTTTAATATATAATATGTATAGGATATGTAATTTTATTTTATTAAATATAAAAAGTTTATTTTTATATTTATATATATATTTGAAATATTGTTTAAAAAAAAAATATTTATAAAAATTAAATATGGACATAAAATTAAACAGAAAATATATTTTATTAAATTCTATTAAAACATAATTTGATCTTAAATAAACAATATAAAAACTTTAATAATACTTATATATACATATATTTTAAGTAAATAATTATTTATTATAATTATATTAATAATATTTAATATATATTTATAAAATGTATTCATACAATTATTATGAATAAATAAAAAAATATTTTATTCTAATTTTTTATATTAATGTCTTAATTATAATAAAAAAGAAAAAAAAAATATTAATTAAGTTTACTAATATAGTAAAGTGAAAAATAATTATTTTTATGACTTAAAATAATGCACTTTTGGAAATAAAACTTATTAGAAAAAAAGAATTGAAGAAAATATTATTATGAATTTGTTAATAAAGTATAAGTATTTAGATTAAAACTTGAGAAAAAAAATTAATAAAATAAATAATTTCTCTTAATAAATTTAATAAACTTTTAAATATTAAATAAATTGATAAAGATAATAAAATTTCTTTATAATTTAACTAACATATATATAAGTGATGAAAATAATGGATAATAGGGGAATAATAAAAAACTAAATTATCTATAGACAATAAAATAGTAGTTATATAAATATATTTTATTTATTTATTTATTAAAAAGAAGTATAGATATCATTATTAAATATATATAATAAGATAATATAGAATTAATTAATTAGTTTATTAATGACTTTAATAATTAGATATTAAATATAAATAGTAAATATTATTAAAGGAAGATTATTAAAAAGAAAGATATTTATCTTTATGTACAAAAAAAATAAAGAAGTTTAATTATTTGAAAGATTATTTCAAATAGAAAAACAAAAAAGATTAGGAAAATAAGAATTAAATTATAATATTTTTGATATTACATACATAAAATTTTATAATAATAATCAAATTTTAAAAATTTTAAGATATAATAATTTTGGTTTTAAAGGTTTAGAGTAAATAATATTTATATTTAATGTAAAATTAATGTTAAAATAAAAAAATGTGTACTATTAATCTTTAAAAAAAATATAAAAAAGAAAATTTAAATAAGAATATTTATATGTTTTTAATGATATATTAAATAAAATATATATTTGTGTATTATTAGTTTCAGTTTAATATATAAATTTTATTAAATAATTATAAATTATATATTTTATATTAAATTTAATTAAATAAATAATTATAATAATTTAATTTATAAAATATTAAATATTTATAATTTTCTTTTTTTATTTAATAAGATATAAAAAATCAAACTTTTATTTTATAATTATATATTAAATATATGTTTTTCCTAAAAATATATGTATTTTATTTATTAAATATTTATTTTTTATATTTATACAATAATCCCCTTATTTATAATTATTATTTATATTAATAATTGTATTTTTAATATATTATAAAATTTATTACATTCCCTTAAAAAAATAAATAAATATAAATGAAAAAAAAAACTTTGAGCTAAAAATATTATTAAAATATTAAAATAATTTTTTTTTGTTATTATTTAATCCAAATATATAAATATTACTCTAAATATTGTTATTGTAATATTTGACTTTTTATATTTTAATATATTTATAATTTAATATATGGAAAAATTTATAATATCTTTGCAATAAAAATTAAGCAAAACAAAAAAAGATTTTTTACAAATATTTTTTTTTTTTTAAATTAAAATTATATTTATAAAATATATTAATATTTTTATAACTATAAAAAAAATAAAAAAAACACATGAAATAGTCTGGAAACAAATTCGCGTATTCAAAATGTGATCGTGCATAAGTAACAGGCGTTTAATTCTGTATATTATCAGAAAAGGAAATAGTAAAAAATTAGTTTTATATAAATTATATAAAAGACTAAAACATTCATTTAATTTAAAACAAATATTAATTATAATAAAAAAGGATAATTGGACAAGTGCAGAAATATCGAAATTTGATGCATAATCTAAAGAAGAGGAATCAGGAATAAATGACTCTAGATTAGGTGTAACTTAATCTAAAAAATTATGCAAGACATGTAAATAAACAATCGAATGTCCTGGACATTTTGGACGTATTAAATTAGAGAGGAAAATATTTCATATAAATTTCATGAATACAATAAAATAAATACTATTATGTATTTGCCATTAATAGTGGTAGCTTTAAGAAAGCCGAAAATAAATGT